GGAGGAAGAAGAAGAAAGAAAACAAAAAATGTACTCTCTCTGAGAGAATACATGCCTTTTTGATGTGTTGTGCACAATGTCCTTGAGGAATGAAGGCATAGGATATGTTAGTGCTTGTCACGGCCTTAAACTATAAGATTTATTGTAGTTGTTCAGACCAAAACGCAAATATTTGTTTATCTTCACAGTTGTTTAAATTTTCCTATTACTACAAGAATTTGCATGTCAGAAAAGATCATTATCTTTTAATTTAGAACGTTATATTTATATATATATATATATATATTTTTTTTCTTATGGATCTTGACTTCTCTTTTGATATTGTTGAATAAAATGAGAGCTGCAGTTATAAATTTATTTGTCAGGGAAAATATGGTTCGTTATGTTTTTTTTATTATTTTTTTGGAAGCCCACCTTATTTGTGCTTGCCTTTTATATCCTTTTTGTTCTATTTGCAACTATCACTGTGTATTATGCCTTGTGATTGGAAAATCTCAAATGAATTAATTAGATAATGTCAGATCAATCCCTCGCTAAATATGTATTCTTTTTCTATCTGTGGCAGATATGAGGAGTTTAGGGTAGGTGGTGATCCATTGCGATCCTGAATCTTCAGGGATTATCTTAATGATTTTAGAGTAGCATTTGGTCTATACTGAAGTTCTTGTTGCTGTCAAGACTCCTAACTGCAGAAATTGGAAAATGGAGTCTGGTTGTTGCTGTTATTAACAGAGCGAACCAGTTGAACTCTGCTGTGGCCCCTTTTCTTTTTTTTTTTTTTGTATTGTTAGAAATTTGTATAATATTGGTATAAATGTGGTGATGATTAGTTAGGCTAGGGTTTGGTTCATGTAGCACGTGTACATGGCTAACTAACGCTACTCGGTTAGCTTCAGTGACTTCATTTTGTTCTTGTGCTGGCAGATTTAGGATTCTTTTCTGTGATATACCAAAAAAAGAAAAAAAAAAGGAAAAAAAAATATATATATAGTCTTGTAATTCAAGCTCTGAAGTCATATTCTCCAACACATGAAAGTTATCTTTCCTTTGGCAGTGCATGTGTCCGTTCCGTAATGTTGGTTATTTATAGACATAAACTTCTGGTTGTGGTTGTCCCATAATCTTGTACATATTGTTTCATGTCTATTTCTATGATGATACTGCGATGGTTGTTTGAAGCTATGGTGGTCACGTGGTTTGTTTTTGTTTTCCCAGTCCTCCACCGAGGGATACATGGGCTGACTGGAGGGTCGATATCCTATAGATTTTAGAAGGGACGTACGTACTGTGTATGTATAACTAAAGGTTGTATGTCAATTTAATTTTAGAGTTTGTCTAATTTGTGTTTAAGAAGAACAGCCTGCTCCAGCCTGTCCAAACATATAGTACTGTGTACGGTGCAGATTTTGTATTAAGACAAGTGGAGTTAATATCGTACCGTATCGATTAATACGGTTGATACGTATCGATTTTGGTATTTGACCGAAATGATATAACATCAATTTTCATTTCGGTCAAATTTCAGGTATTTCAGTCAAAATTTAGTGTATCGGTCGAAATTTCGATGTACCGGTCAGTTCACCGAAATTTCGACTGGTACACTGCAAATTTAAAAAAAAAAAGGATTCCCCTAGCCCAAAACGACGTCATTTTGGGCTAAGGGCTTTTCATATCCTGCAACTGCAATACCCAGAAGTCCGTACAATTAAATTCAAATTTAATAGGGTAAATTTCATTTTTGATCCTCAACTTTAATGTAATATATAATTTTTATGCTTTAACTTTTTTATGTACTTTTTTAGTCCATTTTTTATTTTTTTGTCTTTTTATCAATTATTTTGTTAAATTTATCTAAATATACACATTTTTAGTCCCTTAATTTAAAGTGAATGGACGAAAAATATACATATATTAAAAGTTGAGAGACTAAAAAT